AAATCTGTACCCCCATCATATGCTGAAATTAAAAAAAAAAGAAAATGGTAATAAATACTACAAAACTGGTGTTCAAAAAGGTTGTAAAATGTACACTGGCAATAGTAATTAGAAACCATTTCTTTTTTTTTTTTGAGACAGAGTCTCACTTTGTTGCCCAGGCTAGAGTGAGTGCCATGGCGTCAGCCTAGCTCACAGCAACCTCAAACTCCTGGGCTCAAGCAATCCTGCTGCCTCAGCCTCCTGAGTAGCTGGGACTACAGGCATGCGCCACCATGCCCGGCTAATTTTTTCTATATGTATTAGTTGGCCAATTAATTTCTTTGTATTTATAGTAGAGACGGGGTCTCTCTCTTGCTCAGGCTGGTTTCGAACTCCTGACCTCGAGCAATCCACCCACCTCGGCCTCCCAGAGTGCTAGGATTACAGGCATGAGCCACCGCGCCCGGCCTAGAAACCATTTCTTATCCTCACCTTACTATTATCCATATTTTTAGCTTTTGCCAATTTGAAATGTAAAAATGTGAATTGCTTTAATAGCATTTTAAAACTTTTTGAGCTAATAGCCATTTATGTTGCTTTCATTTATTTCTTTGCCCATTATCTATTCCCAGGGTCTATTTTTTATAAAGGGAGTAAACATTTTAGACTTTGTGGGCCATATGGTCTCTTTTGCAGTTATTTATCTCTGCTATTGTAGCATAAAAGCAGCCACAGATAAAAGCAGCCATACATAAATGAATGGGCAGGGCTGGGTTCCAATAAAACTTTATTTACAAAAACAGGTAGTGGGCCAGTTTGGCCCACTAGCTATAGTTTACAGACTCCAGATCTATTTTGTTGTTATTGCTGTTTTAAGTATATAAGAGCTCTTTTCATACTGTAATAGGAATGTTATGGGTTATCTATTCCAGTCAATTGATGTATATGACCAAACTTTTAATAACTATAGCTTTTGAACTATTTTCATATTCAACACAACTATATTTGGTTTGCTTACATAGTAAATTTTTTGCCAAAATACAATACCAAGAAGTGTCAAGTGCAGTTACTTATTGACACCTTCAAGTTAAAATTCAACTTTAAGAATGTAACACTACAGTGAATTCTAGTGTCACAGTGATAAAAGGGGCCTTGCTTTTGCTTCCAATTTGTTTCCATGTTTAATACATGTTTAAATTTAAACTCAATTACCTGGTATTTAAGGCCTCTAAAATCTAATCCCAGGCTTTCTTTCCTGTGTCATTCTGCCAGTCCCTCAACTGAAGCCACATCAAGCTACTTGCCATTCACTAACAAGGCTGCACTTTCCTTTCTTTGCTCCCTTATTTCTGCTACCTGAAATATTCTGCCCTCAATCTTCACCGACTGATTTCTACCCAATTTTCAAGACTACTGAATTTAAAGGAGGTCAACTCTTTCAATCCTAGAATAGAATCTTTTCTCTCAAACTTTCATAAAGCTTTGCCTATTCTCCTTTCTGAGAGCTAGTACAGCTTTTTTAAGTAAACGTTTTTTCACTGAAGACAAAATACAGAAATCTCAATAACTTTTTACCAAGGAAACACACTCAGATCAAGAAGTAGAACATTAATTAACACAACCCAGGTGTCTCTGATGTTACCTTTTCCCAGTCTATATCTCCCAAAAGGTAGTCACTGTTCTGACTTCTATTCCTGTAGACGATTTCCCTCATTTTAGAACTTTATATTAATAGAATGATATAATATATACTCTTTTGTGTCTAGCTTTTCCCATTCAACATTATGTTTGTGAGATCCATCCATGTTGCTGTATATAGTAATAGTTCATTCTTTTTTTTTTTTTGAGACAGAGTTTCGCTTTGTTGTCCAGGCTAGAGTGAGTGCCGTGGCGTCAGCCTAGCTCACAGCAACCTCAAACTCCTGGGCTCAAGCGATCCTCCTGCCTCAGCCTCCCGAGTAGCTGGGACTACAGGCATGTGCCACCATGCCCGGCTAATTTTTTATATATATATCAGTTGGCCAATTAATTTCTTTCTATTTATAGTAGAGACGGGGTCTCACTCTTGCTCAGGCTGGTTTTGAACTCCTGACCTTGAGCAATCCGCCCGCCTCGGCCTCCCAAGAGCTAGGATTACAGGCGTGAGCCACAGCGCCCGCATGTTCATTCTTTTAATTGCTGCAGAGTACTCTATTGTATGAATACTATGTACTATAATTGATTCGTCCTTTATACTTTCTACAGACATTTTGGTTATATCTAATTTTTACCTATTATAAATAATGCCATTATAAATATTCCTATACTTTTTAAATACATTTCTGATGCATATATGCTATAGCATTTGGAGGATACATCAAAAATCTTTAGGATGCACTCAGAATTTATCTTAAGGAACAAAGTTAAAGAGCTAAAAGGTTTAGCTATGTATAGATGTTCTTGTAGCATTTTAAAATAAATGCAAAAAATGGAAATTGTGGTAAATTCTTACTAACAGGGCATTATTTAAATAAATTATGGCACACCTATGCAATAGAATATTAAATATTATAATTATGGCATAAGGTATATGTTTTTATTTTATTATTTCTTTTTTTTTGAGATAGGGTTATTTTATTATTTCTTATATTTATTGCTAGGGAAAGAGCTGCATGGCATACTGTTAAGTGAAAAGTCTGGTTATAAGAGAGTATATACAACACGAGTCCACTTTTATTTTTAAAAACATATTTATATGTAAATATATATTTAAACATAGCACACCAAAAATTTAACAGTGATATCTTTTAAAAATGTAATGATGGCTGATTTTTCTTTTGGTTTCACTATATCTTTTCAGTTTTCTAACTCTTCTTAAGCAGGATTATGGATTTATCCCTGTATTCTCAGCCCATAGCATGCTATTTGGCGTATAGTGGTTCTAAATAAATGTGTATTTGACTATATGAAAGAATATAAATTATCACAAAGCCAACAAGGTAAAAACAATTTGGTCAGTTTGGACCATTTTAAAAGGCAAAGAATGGTAATTGCCATGGAAGACATCAGGATGTAATTTACCATTTATTTGCCCTTAGAACTCTTGAAAATAGCATGATTTCAGTTGCAGACCTCTCTGTATGCAGCTCTACATTGGCTCAACAGTGACCCTTTGCAACTCAGGGCAGACCACGCAATTCCTTTGCCAGTGATCTTGTAACCAGCTTTAACGATGGCTGATATCTCTGATCTAAAGTGCCCACATCGTATCAAGGACTGTTAAAGTATTGCTAAAAGGAAGAGTCTAGAGCTGAGCCCTAGAATGAATGTGCTTAAAGCTTTAAGTAGTCAGTGATTGCTTTGCATCTACATTACTACAATTTTAAAGCTTTCAGGCATTGCATCACACCTTTTAAAAAGTTTGCTTTTTCTAATTTAATTCATTGCTTTTTCTCATCCCTCAAAAAAAAAAAACACAAAAAACCAAAAAACAAAACAAACAAAAGCAAAAACCCCCAAATAAACAAATCTCCAGCATTTCCCCCCCTTGATGTTCAAAACAACACGCAGTCACAAATAAGATTTGGGCAGAGAGACCTGGCCCCTCCTCTGTTGAAAACACCTTTCCCCTTAGCTCCCCCTGGCGTCCCCTTCCCCTCCAGTCTTGGTCTGAAACCCTCATCATTTAGAATCCTTCCCTCGTGTTACAGGACCAAGATCATCCTCTAAAGCGGTTGTTCAAACACACGTTCCCTTCCTAACGCTTTCTCATTAGTACATCAGCTGGGATTTCAGAGGATTTATTATTAACAGTTGGTCCCAGGGGCCAACGCAGACGGCATCCGGTGGTTACCGAGGGGACATGGGCTTTGCGGGATGCGCGGGGCTCACAGACAGACAGGGCTGACCTAGCGGGAGAAGGGCTACAACCACTTTTACTCAGCTGTCCTGTCCGGGGAGGAGGCGTTTGGTCCCTTTTAGGCGCTGACGCTTGTCTGAGCTGATAAAACCATTCCATTGCCTGAGGCTCGGAGCCAGGAAGTGACTCTCCAAGGCCCCGGGGCGGGAGAGGCTGTGCTGGTCGCCCTGTGCTTGGCCCTGGCCAGGGCTGTTACCATTGTCCCACACTGCCTTCCAGGTGCCACCAGGTGACACCCTCCACTGTCCCTGTGTGCACTACACGCCCTCGGGGTTCCTAAACCAGCCAGCCCAGAAATGCTTGAGGCCTCACCATTGAAGCCGATCACCGTGTCAAGTTCCAGCTCGGCCACCTGGGCCTCGGACGAAATTTGGTCATCCATCCTTGCGAGACTCCTCCCGCTCGCCTCTCAGCGCCAGAGACCGCGTCTGCTGGTCGTTATGGTAACGCCCTGCGCATGCGCGCCAGATCCACGCCTACACAGAAACCCCGCGAACCGAGCTCCGCGTTCGTTTGCGCTCTTGCAAAGGAAGGGAGGACCACGTTTTGCTATTTCTCTGGAAATCTAAGGGATGGCACGAAATGCACGGAACTATTAATAGTTCCTCCATCCCTCTTCCAAAGAGTCTGTGATTTTTTTTTGGTAACTATATAATCGAGCACCTAATGAATGGCGTTTTAAATGTACGCAATCAAGCACGGAGGGTTGGTGGGAAGGCTGCTATAAAATAATATATAATTGATATTTCTTTGAGTCCGTGTTTGAAGCAGTATTAAAAAAAATCTTAAAAGATTTTTTAAAGGCTTTATTGAGGTATAATGTAAATATCATAAAATCCACTTAAAGTGAGTTTTAGTAAGTTTATAAACTTAGTAAGTGTGCAACTATGACCGCAATCCAGTTTGTTTGTTTCGTTTTGTTTTTGAAGCAGGATAAAATTTTAGGTAACTGCTAGAGGGAGGTCTTGGCAGCGCTCTCGGCTTCCTGGGAAAATGCTTAGATTCTATTCTACAACGATTTTATTTTAATTGCGCCCATCTACTGTCCCCCAAAGGAGCACTTTCCTTCATCTGTCACGGTTCTTAGGCCCCAATTATTCACTTTGCAAACTCTAGGCTCCGGTCGCGCACGGGCCTGACTGCGGGGAGTGAGCCGCGCGGGCCGCCGTAGTCAGCTGCTGCGAGCAGGAAGTGTCCGAGTAGCGGGCGGAGTCTGCACGATGGCACCGGACCCCTGGTGAGCCCCGGGTGAGGGCGGCCGTGCACGGAGGGTCCTTCGGAGAGGCTGGGCTTCCGGGGAGCGGGAGATCCCTTAGCATTGCCGCTGGGGGCCTTCCGGGATGAGGGGAGGGGCAGCGGCGAGACCCTTCCTCTGCTGAGGGGAACTCAGCCACATCCCGCCACCCTTGGTCCTTGCCCGGGTGGCCTGGGAAGGAGACCGGGTGGGCTGCTGGGGAGCTGAGGACTTGAGCCGAATCTCTGAATATTCCTGGGCTGCATCTCGCCGCGGGGTTTCCCGCCCATCCTGGTTGTGGAGCTGCTGGTGCAGGCTTCCCTGGACTCCTGTAAAAGTGAAGTAGAACCTCTTTGTGGAATGTCAGTCCACCCCGTCAACCCCCTTATTTCGCAGATGGAAAAACTGAGATTCCATGGTCACCAGCCAGTTAGTAACCATTTGGGGACCTCGATCTTGTGGGCCCTTCGAAACACTTGTAGGAATCTGAGAGGGGAAATTATGCACTTGTTTATAAGGCATTTCACCCTTTCCTGAGTTAATATGAGGACTCTTCCTTTAGCAGAAACTTCTCTAGTAAAACAGTAGCTGATAAGGGTCATTATTCTGCAATTAAATCCCAAGGACTGAATGATGAAAGATGAGTTCTTATCCCAAGGAACATAATGCTGTTAAGACTTGACCTTTCTGTTTAATAACGTAAAACATAGCTCTATAAAGTTCTTGTTGGAGTGTATGTCTTATGTTGGATTTTCTAATATAGTTTATAATTATTTAAGTTGCACACAGCCTGGATGTTAGAAGAATAGGTTTGAAGATCAAAGTTAGATTTACCTGAAATCTGGGTTATTTAGCCAGTTGCTTAACTTAATGCTGACTTTTTTGTCTGCCTAATTTTAAGAGTTCTATATACATCTACTGATAGAAAATTTAGGGAATATTGAATATTTCCTGAGAAGAAAATAAATAGCATCTTTAACTTTATCATTTGGAAAATAGCCATTACTGATTTTTTACAGTAAATTTATTGCTTAAATCTGTATTTTATATATATATTTATTCACAAAACAGGGAGCATTTCTCCATGTCATTGAACATTCTTTGAAAACATAATTTTCTTACATGGTGTAATAGTGCACCATATGAATAACCATAATTTTATTTTTGTTTTTCTCTTCTGTATTAGATTTTGTTTGTTTTGTTGTTTTTGTTTTTGTTTTTTTTACTATTGCAAAAGCAGTCCATTTGTTCCATCTCTTATTTCCTAGGGATCCATTCCTAGAAGTAGAACTGTTTGGTTCAAGGGTGTGAACATTTTAAGGCCCTTGATACATACTCCTATTCCTAAATTGCCCTCCACCTCCTGGAACCTAACTCCCTCAATTTGCACAAAAAGTAGGAAATAAAGCTCAGACATAAGGACTGGTTATCCATTTAGATTGGTGGAAGCTATCATTGGACCCCAAGCCTCTTCCACAGTTAATGTTCACAAAGCATTTGTACCTTTTTCTGTTACTCTCAATTAGTTTGACTAAATGGCTTTCTCATTAGACTATGAAAGTGAAACAGTGGGGGAACTCTGTTGTGCTCCCATTAGCTACCTTACAAAGTGGGTTGCTGATTAAGAGGGTAAAAAGGAGTATGGGATGGGATTTTGACAAACCTATAAAAACAGATTGGACTATAGCTTTGCCTTTGTATCACTGAAACTCATATGTCACTGATGCCTCCCTCCTGGGTGGTGTTCTAAAGTTTAGGAGTGGAATATAGCAGTTAGTGTTTTAATGGCCTATCAAAGCAAGTGGTAAGCTCAGTGTTTAATAGAAGTAGCAAGTGGTTACTGTCTCTGAACTGGTTCTTTGCTAAAGTTAATTAGCTTTACTGTCAGGCAACTTACTTGTTGATGATATACTATTTCTGAGAAAATTACAGTTAAACCTCAGTAGTTTTCTATTCTAATTCTAATTGAACATTTTTTGTTAGTGGCATGGCCTTTTGCTTTTTTTGTTGTTGTTGTTTTTTTTTTGGTTAGTTTACTTTTTAAAAACTTTATTATGGAAGGTAAGAGATATACAAAGTAGAATGATATAATGGGCCCTTTTATACTCACCGCTGAATTTCTGTAATTATTAATATCTACCATTCTTGTTTCATATCTGCTATACTTTTTTTCTTTTCTGGGTGTACTTTAAAGTAAATCTTATGTATATTAATTTAACTGTACATTCAGTGTTTTTCTGATAGAAAAGGGGCCTAGTTCATAGTCTGGAAGCTTCTTTTCTGTTTCCCTTTTCAGTTCCTTAGTCTGTGTCGTGGCATCACCGTCTCAGGCCTGAAAACTCAAATTATTCATCTTTTTTTGTTTTCACTCCTCATAGCACATTATTCACTAATATCCACTAGTTTTCTTCTTTTAAATATCTCTGTTATATCTTTTATGTTGTCTGTTTCTACCATAGTCCAACCCTAATACCTTTTAGATAATAAATACTGGAAACCAGTTATGGCATTGACTAGCTGGAGAAGTTTTCTACTGGTCTCCTGCCACTACTCTCTCATTTCCTCTCATTATTATTTATTTAAATAGGATTCAGACTAATTTTTCTAAATTAGTACTTTAGGCCCCTGTGTATTTGACCCAATAATGAGGTTTTCCCTTACCTCTAGGCCAGTAGTTCCCAAACTTTGCCACAGATTGAAATCACATGGAGGGCATCCCAAAATCCCCACAGCCAGATAAAACCCCATAACAATTTAATCAGAATGCTGGGAGTGGGACCAGGCATTGGTATTCTTTTAAAAAGAGATTTCCCAGTGATTCCAATGTGTAGCAAAGTTTCAGAACCACTGTTCTTTAGGGGTAAAATATGAATACAAAGATTGGGGGCATGACAGCTGGAAGTTGGTCCTGGCTATGTGACCTTGAGCATTTCACATAACCTCTTCAAGGACTCTCTTCATATATATAAGTTTCCCTGTGGCAATAAAATATCCTGTAAGTCTAACCTGGTTAGACTGGTGTTCAACGTTGTGTAGAAGTGACTTCTACTCATCTCTATCATTTTATACTTTACTGGGCAACCAGGGCCACTACTCGGCTGAACGTGCCAGCCATACTTCCTTCTTTTCATCTTTGGTGGCTCTGTGTGTCTTTCACCAAGTTTAGAATGTGTTCCTCCCTACTGTTTGAATAAGAGGCCTGCTTTAACCTCATGGTCAGCTCAAGATGTCACCTCATGGTTACACCCCACATTTGGCAGAAGGGCCAGCATGCTATATGTTATCGATTTTCATATGTATTGGCTGGGACCACAGTGCCAGACCTAAGCTGCTCTTTTCACAGAGGAAAAAAAGGTAAAATGTGGCAAAGCTTGGTCCAGGACCAAATTTTCCTTAATAGCCTTCTATTTTCCTGATTTTATGTTGTCTTTTATTACTTGCTCTTTTTCCATATATACATATACATGAATACATATGAATGATGCATATATGATATATATGAATATATGTATATGATATATACATGACTGATACTACTTTGGAGTATAGTGGTTGGTGGCTCAGGATCCTACCTCATAGGATCCTAATAAAGTTTACAATGTGAAGCTCTTAGCATGGGACCTGGTGCAGGTCAGGTACTGGGCTGCTAGCTGTTGCTATCATTATTATAGTAAGATTCCTACGGGAAGTGATGGGAGCATTTTCCTTCATTCAAAAACAAACACTTATCAAGTTCCCTCACTGTACAAGTGATATGTGGGAGTTAGAAGATTTGAAAAAATGTATTATTTATTTACTTAAGCAAAAACATTGGGACATTAGGACCAACAGCAGTTTTCAGTATTTTGTAATAGACAGTTCAGGATAATATGTTGGTCTGGTACAGCAGAGTCCCTGCTTTCTAGGAGCAGATTGTCAAGTAGGAGAAATGAAATGTGTATGCATGATTAAGTATTTTCTGCAAAACAGATAGAAAGAAAATAAAAATGCTGTGAGAGAAGGTTCATAGTGAATCCTTCAAAGCCATGAGTGATAATTAGAAGCTCAATAAATGTTTTGAGAGAATTCGGGCAAGCTTAGATGTTGGGTGTGTGTGTGCCCTTTGTCCTCAGAGCTCTCCTCCAGGTACTTGCACGCCTAGCTTCTTCACCTTGCCTCAGTGTCCCCGATCCTGAATAGCACCCCCGCACCACTCTCTGTCCTTTTATCCTGCCTCACTTTTCTTCTTAGCACATAGCAACACCTGGCACGCTATGTATTAATTTGTTTTTTTGCTTTTTTTCCTTCACTAAAATGTGAGCTCCTTGAAAGCAGGACCTTTGTCCATTTTATTCCCTGCTGTATTCTCCAGTGTCTGGAAAAGTGCTTATCACAGCGGGGGCCCTCCAAATGCTTTGTCACTGGCAGAAGAACAAAGTGGTTAAGAGCCCAAGCTCTGAGGTCAGGCAGCTTTGGTTTGCAGCTGGCAGTGCCAATTGGGCAAGTTACTTTACTTCTTTGTGCCAAATTTTCTCATGTGTGAGGTGGAGACACTAGTGGTACCCACCTCAGAGCATCCTCGTGTGAATTAATTGAATTATAAATGAAGCATCCAGGATAGTACCTGGCACATAGTAAGTGCAGATCAATCCACATGGCTATTACTGGTGCTGTTATTATCTTCCCTTCCTGTTGGAGTTTTGTGATTAGAATAAAAAACTCAGACAATGCAGTAATTTTTTAAAAACTACTTTAAACATTTTTCTCTTTTTATTACTTTGTTGCAGGTTCTCCACATACGATTCTACGTGTCAAATTGCCCAGGAGATTGCTGAGAAAATTCAACAACGAAATCAGTATGAAAGAAAAGGTGAAAAGACAACCAAGGTAATAATAGGAGAGACTTAGTACTTAAAATGATATGTTTGAGCTTGGAGGTCTGAAAATATTCCTATATCTGAGACTCTCTGTATGTGCACTTGTATAGGGGTCTATCTGCTTATATATGTTGAATTGATATTACAACCAACCAGTTAGTAGTTATTTAATCATTGAGACTAAAGGAAGCATAACATATATTTAATTTCTCCTGTTTTACCTTAAACATCTCTGACAATTTTATAGTCTAGTTCAAGGGTTAGTAAGCTTCCTCCAGATAGTAAATCCTTTACGCTTTGCAGACCAAAAGACAATATCTTCAATTCTTTTGAGTATCTACTCTCACCAAAAGGATAATAGTCTTGTTTTTTTTTTTTTAAAGACAGTCTTACTTTGTTGCCCAGGCTACAGTGAGTGCTGTGGCGTCAGCCTAGCTCACAGCAACCTCAAACTCCTGGGCTCAAGCAATCCTACTGCCTCAGCCTCCTGAGTAGCTGGGACTACAGGCATGTGCCACCATGCCCGGCTAATTTTTTCTATATATATATTATGGCCAATTAATTCTTTCTATTTATCGCTCTATCAGGCTGGTCAAACTCCAGACCTCGAGCAATCCCCGCTTGAACCTCCCAGAGTGCTAGATATAGCATGAGCCACCTTCGCCAGACAATAGTCTTTTTTAATTTTTATACTTAAAAATGTAAAACATCTTTAATTGTGGCTGTACAAACAACATGGGATTTGGCTAGGAAATATATTTTATGAAATCTCTAGTTCATATTGATACCTTGATTCAAATCCAATACATATGATTCTTCCTTACCTTCCCATTCCAAATTTGTATTTTCTTTCTCCCACCTTGAACCCTGGTTCAAGAGCATCAATATATTTTACATGTTGTCTATCTTACAGTTCACAAAAATAGTTTCAAAATTACTACAAAGTACCATCAAATACTAAAGTCTAAATCTGTGTATTTTTTAAAAATAGAATATTCCACTAAGGGTACTGAGGTTATTCTGTTCCAAAGTTATTAGTATTAATTCTATTTTCTGATCTTATGCAATCTCTGTTTTTATCATTTTTAGGTTTGCTTTCCCTAACTTTTTGATTTTATTTTAAGTAAGTAAAAACATTTGCACTATTCAGAACAAAATTAATGAAAAGTACACTCAACACTTGTTCCCATTCCTCTTCTACACTCTTCTTACTGCTTCTAGGTGACCTTTTCATTAATCCTGGCTTATTCTTCCCGTTACTTTTGCAGAATAAGCATGTGTGTTATGTATGTGTGTGTTCTATTTCTTTATATGAAAGATAGTCTTTTATATCTTGCTCTTTTCACTAATAATATATAATCTCTCCATATTAATTCAAGACCTTGTGTTCTTTAGGGCTGTATAGTACTCTGTTGTGTGAATGTACTTGATTCATTTAACCTGTCTCTTAAGGATGGGCTATTAGATGGTTTCCCATCCTTTCCTGTACTAATAATGCTGTAGTCAATAACTTTGTCTTTTTTTAAAAAAAAATATTTATTGTGGAGGTTCTTTTAAGGGTGATTCTCAAACCAGACATACATAATTTTTTTTTACCTGTTGCCAACATTTCCTTCACTGGGTTGACCTTTGGCACCTCACAAGCAATGTGTGATGTGAGAGCTTCTGTTTCTTCACAGCCTGACCCACAGAGGGTGTTATCAATTCTGAATTTTTGCCAATCTGATAAGTGAGAAATGGTATTTCAGTGTAGTGTTAAATTTGTATTTTCATATAGTGAGTCAAGTGGAGTATGTTTTCATATGGGTAAGAGCTACTTAAATATCTTCTGTGAACCATCCTCTTGTCTTTTCCCATCCTATTAGACTGTTGGTCTTTTTAGTCTTATTCTTTAAGTCTCCTGAAGATATTAGAGAGATTAGCTCTTCATGAGAAATGGTAATTATTTCCTCTCCTTTATCATTTGACATTTGACTTTGCTGTAGTTTTTTTTTTTTTAAAGAATGGAGTTGATATCCATCTTTAATGCTTCTGTCTATTAGTTCATAGTTAGTTTTTGCCAGTTCCAGGTTATAAAGGAATTTATTCCTGTTGTAGTAAGTACATTCAGAGCTATAATCCTTTTCAACTGTCTTTCATGGACAGTTAGGTTATTTAATTGTAAATGACTTTCAGTGAGCCTAAATTATGGCCCATGTTAGAATAAATTCCTAGGTAGACTTTCGATTGGGTTGTATAAAGTTAACCTTTTGAACATATATGTGCAGAGTACATTTCTATACCAATTATGATTATTTTTAAAATCTTTCTCACTCTGTTAGGTAAATTATTATGTACAATAGGCTAATATGCATTTTTTATTATGTCTTGAACTCTCTATATTATTGCATATTTGCATTTCTTTTAATTGCCTATTAATGTTCTTAACCAACTTATTATTTTTTTATTCAAAGTTCTCTTTTTTATGTGTCAACTACATTAAGCTTTGACTGGCATGTTGGTACAAATATTTTTCGTTTTATTGGCTTTGATTTGTAAGTGACATTTTTAAATATGTACCTGGTTTTAAATTTTATTTGAAATTATCAGTATTTTTTTTTTTTACCATATGCGAATTGAAGAATTATCAGTACTTTTATTTGTGTTTTTTTTCTTACAGAGGAAGGGGATGCCATATTTAGAAAGGCCTTTTACACCCAGAGGTTACATAAATATTTTACCTAATTATCTACATTTTCTTTAAGCTTTTCTTCTGTTGGTTTTTCTTTTTCTTTTTCTTTTTTTTTCTTTTTTTTTCCATTCAAGCTGCTATAACATCTTCTGTTGGTTTTTTATTTTGCTTTTTGTTTTGTGTGTCTTTATAAATCTTTGAAATATTTAAAGTTTATTTTGGTGTGTTGTAGGTATCTAATTTTATTTTTTTCTCCATTTGCTATAAATCATTAATCCCCCTCCCCAAGATGTGAAATACTCTCTGTTTCATTCACTGACTTTTTATACAGCTACACTGTTTCTGGGCCATCTATCTGTTCTGTTACTCTGTTGAAGCTGTTAGTAACTGCGTGCATTGTACTTCTATAGTTTTTTTGTAATGACAACTTCATATCTGATTGTTTAAGACCGCCTTTATTATACATATTCATGGATTTTCTTAATTTTCCTTCATTTATCCTTCTTTCAGAGTAATTTTGTAAAACTTCATTTAAAAAACAGTTTGTATTATGTTTCAGTTACCACCTCCTTTGCAATAAACGAATCCAAATGGGATTTCAAATAGGCACATAGTATGTTTATAGATCAAATTGGGGAAAATTTACATTTTTACTGTGTTGAGTGTTTCCGTTAGCAGTTCTTCATTCCTTCAGCAGTATTTACTGTATAATTACTATGTGTCTGGCACTGTGCTACATACTTTTTAGATTTTGTTGCTATCGTTAATGAAGTTTAAAAGTAATAATTAAAAAAATTCTTCCTAGGTATTACCTAAATTTAGTAATGCCTTTGATTTTTTCATTTTACTATTGATCACTGTACTGAATTCTTTTGCTGTTTCTAATAATCTTTCAGTTGATTCTCTGAAGTTTTCTGATTTAAATTATTATTTTCTAACATCAAACTGTCCACACTGTTGGCATTTTGGTATGTTTAGTTCCTGGATTGTTATTATTTGGGTGACATTTTATGACTTGATTTTTTTCTTTTAATAAGTTAAACTGGATATCTTTCTATGTGAACAAACTGAGTTTGAGACTATTAGATTATTGTCAATCTGCAAATAATGATATTTTCATCTCCTTTCTAGTCTTTATATATTGATTAAGCTCTTCATGAAAATGTAATTTATTCCTCTCCTTTATCATTTGACATTTGACTTTGCTTGTAGTTTTTTTTTTTTTAAAGAAATGGAGTTGATTATCCATCTTTAATTGCTTCTGTCTATTAGTCATAAGTTAGTTTTTGCCAGTTCAGGTTATAAAGGAATTATTCCTGTTGTAGTAAGTACATTCAGAGCTATAATCCTTTTAACAACTGTCTTCTTCATGGACAGTTAGGTTATTTCTAATTGTAAATGACTTTTCAGTGAGCCTAAATTATGGCCCATGTTAGAATAAATTCCTCAAGGTAGACTTTCTGATTGGGTTGTATAAAGTTTAACCTTTTGAAGCATATATGTTGCAGAGTTACATTTCTATACCAATTATGATTATTTTTAAAATCTTTCTCACTCGTTAGGTAAATTATTATGTTACAATAGGCTAATATGCATTTTTTTATTTATGTCTTGAACTCTCTATATTATTGCATATTTGCATTTCTTTTAATTCTATTAATGTTCTAACCTAAACTTATTATTTTTTAATTTCAAAGTTCTCTTTTTTATGTGTCAACTACATTAAGCTTTGACTGGATGTTGGTACAAATATTTTTCGTTTTTTGGCTTTGATTTGTAAGTACATTTTAAATATGTACCTGGTTTTAAATTTTATTTGAAATTATCAGTATTTTTTTTTTTTACCATATGCGAATTGAAGAATTATCAGTACTAGTTATTGTGTGACCTCGAGCAATCCGCCCGCCTGGACCTCCCAGAGTGCTAGGATTATAGGCATGAGCCACCTCGCCCAGACAATAGTCTTTTTTAATGTTTTATACTTAAAAATGTAAAAACAATCTTTAATTGTGGGCTGTACAAAACAACAGTGGGATTTGGCTAGGAAATATATTTTTATGAAATCTCTAGTTCATATTGATACCCTTGATTCAAATCCAATACCATAGATTTCTTCCTTACCTTCCCCATTCCAAATTTGTATTTTCTTTCTCCCACCTTGAGAACCCTGGTTTCCAAGAGCATCAATATATTTTTACATGTTTGGTCTATCTTACAGTTCACAAAAAATAGTTTCAAAATTACTACAAAGTACCACTACAAATACTAAAGTCTAAAATCTGTGTATTTTTTAAAAATTTAGAATATTCCACTAAAGGTACTGAGGTTATTCTGTTCCAAAGTTATTAGTATTAATTCTATTTTTCTGTATCTTATGCAATCTTTTATTTCTGTTTTTATTCATTTTTAGGGTTTGCTTTTCCCCTAACCTTTTTGATTTTATTTTAAGTAAGTAAAAAAACATTTGCACTATTCAGAAGTCAAAATTATATGAAAAAGTACACTCAACATCTTGTTCCCATTCCTCTTCTACACCTCTTCTTACTGCTTCTAGGTGACCATTTTCATTAATTCCTGGCTTATTCTTCCCGTGTTACTTTTTGCAGAAATAAGCATGTGTGTTTATGTATGTGTGTGTTCTTATCTTCCTTTTATATGAAAGATAGTCTTTTATATCTTGCTCTTTTCACTTAATAATATATAAATCTCTCCATATTAATTCAGAGACCCTTGTGTTCTTTAGGGCTGTATAGTACTCTGTTGTGTGAATGTAACTTGATTCATTTAACCTGTCTCTTAAGGATGGGCTATTAGATGGTTTCCCATCCTTTCCTGTTACTAATAATGCTGTAGTCAATAACTTTGTCCTTTTTTTAAAAAAAAAAATTTATTTGTGGAGGTGTCTTTTAAGGGTGAGTTCTCAAAACCAGACATACATAATTTTTTTTTTTTACCTGTTGCCAAATTTTCCCCTTCACTGGGGTTGACCTTTGGCACCCTCACAAGCAATGTGTGATGTGAGAGCTTCTGTTTCTTCACAGTCTGACCCACAGAGGGTGTTATCAATCTTCTGAATTTTTTGCCAATCTGATAAGTGAGAAATGGTATTTCAGTGTAGTGTTTAATTTGTATTTCTCATATAGTGAGTCAAGTGGAGTATGTTTTCATATGGGTAAGAGCTACTTATATATATATCTTCTGTGAACCATCCTCTTGTCTTTTGCCCATTTCCTATTAGACTGTTGGTCTTTTTAGTCTTATTCTTTAAGTGCTCCTGAAGATATTAGAGACATTAGCTCTTCATGAGAAATGGTAATTATTTCCTCTCCTTTATCATTTGACATTTGACTTTGCTTGTAGTTTTTTTTTTTTTTAAAGAAATGGAGTTGATTATCCATCTTTAATTGCTTCTGTCTATTTAGTCATAGTTAAGTTTTTTGCCAGTTCCAGGTTATAAAGGAATTTATTCCTGTTGTAGTAAGTACATTCAGAGCTATAATCCTTTTAACAACTGTCTTCTTCATGGACAGTTAGGTTATTTCTAATTGTAAATGACTTTTCAGTGAGCCTAAATTATGGCCCATGTTAGAATAAATTCCTCAAGGTAGACTTTCTGGATTTGGGTTGTATAAATTTTAAACCTTTTGAACATATATATATCTGTTGCAGAGTTACATTTCTATACCAATTATGATTATCTTTTAAAAATCTTTCTCACTCTGTTAGGTAAAATTATTATGTTACAATAGGCTAATATGCATTTTTTATTACTTATGTCTTGAACATCTCATATTTATTGCATATTTGCATTTCTTTTATGAATTGCCTATATAATGTTCTTAACCTAATCTTATTATTTTTTAATTTCAAAGTTCTCTTTTTTTATGTGTCAACTACATTAAGCTTTGATCTGGTATGTTTGGTACAAATATTTTTTCTGGTTAATTGGCTTTTGATTTTGTAAGTGACATTTTTAAATATGTACCTGGTTTTAAATTTTATTTGAAATTATCAGTATTTTTTTTTTTTTACCATATGCGAATTGAAGAATTATCAGTACTTTTATTTGTGGGTTTTTTTCTTACAGAGGAGGGGGGGATGCATATTAGAAAGGCCTTTTTACACCGCAGAGGTTACATAATATTTACCTAATTATCTACATTTTCTTTAAGCTTTTCTTCTGTTGGTTTTTTATTTTGCTTTTTTTTGTGTTGGTCTTATAAATCTTTGAAATATTTAAAGTTTATTTTGGTTGTGTGTAGGTATCTAATTTTATTTTTTTCTCCATTTGCTATTAAAATCATTAATCCCCTCCCCAAGATGTGAAAACCTCTGTTTCATTCACTGACTTTTTATACAGCTGCACTGTTTCTGGGCCATCTATCTGTTCTGTTACTCTGTTGAAGCTGTTATAACTGCCTGCATTGTAACTTCTATAGTTTTTTGTAATGACAACTTCATATCTGATTGTTTAACGCCTTTATTGATGACAGTATTCATGGATTTTCTTAATTTCCCTTCATTTATCCTTCTTTCAGAGTAATTTTGTAAAACTTCATTTAAAAAACAGTTTTGTATTATGTTCAGTTACACCTCCTTTGCAATAAACGAATCCACAATGGGATTTCAAATAGGCACATAGTATGTTTATAGATCAAATTGGGGAAAATTTACATTACTGTGTTGATGGTTTCGTTAGCAGTTCTTCATTCCTTCAGCAGGTATTTACTGTATAATTACTATGTCTGGCACTGTGCTACATACTTTTTAGATTTGTTGCTATCGTTAATGAAGTTTAAAAGTAATAATTAAAAAAATTCTTCCTAGGTATACCTAAATTAGTAATGCCTTGTATTTTTCATTTTATTATTGATCACTGTACTGAATTTCTTTTGTGTTTCTAATAATCTTAGTTGATTCTCTGAAGTTTTCTGATTTAGATTATTATTGTTCTACATCAAACTGTCCACACTGTTGGCATTTTGGTGTGTTTAGTTCCTGGATTGTTATATTTGGGTGACATTTATGACTTGATTTTTCTTTTAATAAGTTAAACTGGATATCTTTCTATGTGAACAACTGAGTTTGAGACTATTAGATTATTGTCAAGATCTGCAAATAATGATATTTTCATCTCCTTTCTAGTCTTTATATATTTCTTCAATTTGTCTTATTGCATTGGTTAGAAAATCTAGCTCAAAGTTAAATAATAGTGCAGTTAAGGCAATAGTGTTCCAGCCTTAGTTTTTCTTTCTTTTTTTTTTTTGTTTTGTGTTTTTTAATTTCCCCCATACTATATTAATCATATATTTATTCTATTTTAATCATTAACACCATGAACTTTATTATTAGATTGTTATTTAATTAGGTTATTATTTTCTAACATCAAACTGTCTTAAATAACTAGAATACATTCTACTTGGTAATGGTATATTTTCCTTTTCAATGTAATTCTGAATTTGCTTTGCTAATATTTTAAAAAATATTTTTATATTTATAATCCTTAAGTGAGATGGATGTGGTATCTCTGTCAGTGTTTTTTTTTTTGTTTGTTTGTTTGTTTTTTTTTTTTTTACCAGGGTTATGTTAGCTTAAACTATGAATTAGACTTTCCATCTTTTTCTGTGCTTTGGAAAGCACCTGTTTAATTATGATAATGGAACTTTTTTTCTGATTATAAAAGTAATCATTTTCTTATAAAATGTTAAGAAATCCTAATTAGAGATAACCACTGCTGGCATTTTGGTGTGTTTAGTTCCTGGATTGTTATTATCTGGGTGATATTTTATGACTTGATTTTTTTCTTCCAATAAGTTAAACTGGATATCTTTCTATGTGAACAAACTGAGCTTGAGTTATACTTTTTAATGGCTATATACTCTTTCATCTCTTGAATGCTTTTGATTTTTAATTTTGTAGGCTCTTTGTAGGTCTGGTGTGTGTGTGGTGCTTTTTTGTTTGCTTGTTTTACTCTTTACTCTTTGAATGAGGAGAGAGCTGCTTGTCTTGACGTTTCCTTGTAAACATTGTGGGTGGTTCTTCCTTGGTTCCCAGAGGTTTTAGAATCGTTAAAGTGAGACTTTTCTTGGTTACTGATGCCTCAGAGGGTTGCTTGATGTGTGTAGCCCTTGGCCAGCCTCTGGCTTTCTCTGCTTTTCCTTAGTGTGATTCTGCTAGTCTAAGGAAGGAGCACACTCTTCCACACAAGTTGAATAATTGCTACTTTTAACAAGGTAGCAAATGAAACCTGTGGTAGTCTGTGTTTTTAACATATCTATGATTTTATCCATGGTGGAATATGTTTCAATTTAAATGGGCAGTTTATTTTTCACTTTTCCAAATTCCTGAGAGGCGCTCTCTCTCTTTCTCTCTTTCCCCTTCCTCTATCATTCAATGTGGCACTTCAGAGTCACAAACAAAAATTTCTTCCAGGATTTTAGAGTGATTGGAGAAAATTCACACACTCCTGGAAAAAGAGTCATGTGTGGTTAACAATCCTCTTGTACAAAAAGAACACATTGCCATGAGATGTTTCAATGGGTTGTAAATTTTCCCAGTATGTTTAGAGAGACTGGTCGAGACATAATGGGACAGTTTTTGAAGTCTGGTTGAGGGAATTGTGGATTTTGCTATGGAACAAAGACTTGGGGAAACACAATTTCCTGCATGGCTCCAAGATGCACAACTAGGTTCAATGGGCAAAAGCTCTGGGGACAGAATTCAGCTGCTGATCAGGGCAAATTGACACTTCCCAGTCAATGTCCGAGTTCAGGTATGGCCTTGCTCACCACATGGCCAGGTTGTAGAGTGAGTACAGGCCAGAGGCTGGGCCAGGCACTGCTGAGACTGCTTACAGCCCTGAGTTTGTTTTAGGGAGGCCAAGCATCTCTTCCAGCCCTTCCTGGATTGAATCATAACCTGTAAAGCAGCATTTACATGATATAGTTTAGTAAATTGTACACCTCTGGAATGGAATACTTAGGATGTCTTCTTTTCTTTTCAGCTTACGGTGACAATCAGAGCTTTGTTGCAGAACCTGAAGGAAAAGATCGCCCTTTTGAAGGACTTATTGCTAAGAGCTGTGTCAACACATCAGATGTATCCATGTAAACATTTCCACCTCTTTTCTAGAGTGGGAGGAAAAGCAGTCTTATTTTAAGAAAGGAAGGAATCTGGGCCACCCAGATTTTTCCACAGCTTGAGGAAGACCTGGTTTCCAAAATATTGCCTATAATCTTGATTTCTATTTTAAGCGTCTGTTACATGTTTTATAGTGAATTTGCTGGCAAAGCAAGACCTGCCGAAGGAATTAACTTATTTGGGTGTAACCTGTGCAGCACAGGAAGCTAATGCTTTCTGTCAGTGCCATGTTTACAGGGCCCTGCATAGCTCCCTGTCTAGACTGCCTTGAAGATGGCTAGCCACTGCTCCAACAGGAAAACTTTCATGAATCCATGATAATCCTGAGCTCTGATTCCCTTTCTGGAGTTTCCAGAGTTTTAATGATCCATTTCTTTTTGGAGAGGACGATACCAGTAGAAAGCATACATGTTTCCTTCCTGTTTTGTAGATTATTGAGATATGACTTGCTTGCCTTATTATTCTTCCAGTGGCACAGATACTGCCTCTAGTTTGGGAGTTTGGGAGGTAAGGGGAGGGGCAGGACTTGCTTGAAGCCAGTCCTGCCAACATTGTCAAGTAGAGTGATCTTTCTATGTGAACAAACTGAGTTTGAGACTATTAGATTATTGTCAATCTGCAAATAATGATATTTTCATCTCCTTTCTAGTCTTTATATATTTCTTCAATTTGTCTTATTGCATTGGTTAGAAAATCTAGCTCAAAGTTAAATAATAGTGCAGTTAAGGCAATAGTGTTCCAGCCTTAGTTTTGAGACATTTTGTTTTGAGAAATTCATACTGTGATCAATTTTGGAAAATACATGTGACCTGTTAACCTAAATGAACCTTTTATACCTGAGTTTATATTACTTTGGAAACTGACCTCAAACTGGTCTTCTCTCATCCTATCTCTAAATTGCCAGTAGTTCATGCCAAAGACCAAATTTTTCGCATCTCAGGAAATGGTTACTGCCTGGTTTTGAATATGAAAAAATGTATAAATATAGCTTCTTAGATAAAACAATTGAAGGTATTTAAAAAATATTTCCTCCTGAGTATAACCCCTTTATGTTACCAGGAAAGTTGGTTTAGATTAGGTGTTTGATTTTCTAAATATTCAGTTTTTAATCCACTAAGGTTTCAGATAAAAGTTTAATTTTAATAAACAATTGGGACCTTATTTTTAACACAATTGGAATATTCTGGCACATTTAGTTTGTAGCTTTACCCTCTATCTGGTATTACTTGTTACTGCACAGTTAGTCTGTCATATAAAGAATTTTTATTTTACCAAAATCAGCAAGTCTTTATATAGAGACCTGAAATTGTTTTAGATGGGCAGGGCTTTTTATTCTACTTTCTGTACTAAGTACTGGGAGGTCTGCACATGGGGTCAAAGTATGCAAATTCATGTTACTGTTACCTAAAGCACATATATTAGAAAGGTAACTAAATATTGTTTCATGGTATAATATTAATAACTATGTATTTGCTCATTTCCATTCAGGTAACTGATTATTACTTGTCTTTTTTATATGCTAAACCTATAGGGCAAGCAAAATATACACATTTAATTATAGAGTACTAAGCATACCACAGTAATAATTGACTTTATTCTCCTAAATGCTTACAGTCTGACTATCTGTTGAAATCTCATAGATTTTTGGTTTTGTGGTGATCTCAGAATTGCATCCTAGATTACTAAATTAAACACTAAGCATTAAAAACATTAAAAAAATATTTAGGGACCTTATGTGCATTATTAGAATTTCCTAGGAAAAATAAAAAACTCAACTGGACTATAACAGTATTCTTTAAAATCCTGTTTATTTATTTTTTAAAAAATAATTGATCTATTTCTATTGTAACTGCATTGAGTACGAGGGATTGCAATCAGATAATCCGCCCCACGGGGGCGCTCTTAAACTTGTTAGTTTCAGGGAGGCAGCCTTTTTTTTTTGATGTAATGGAAAGGAGGAGGCAGCTTCTATATTACCAATGCCACTTTTTAATTCTCCTTCTGTCCCCCATCTTCCCTTCCCTTGAATTCCTTCCTCCTCCTAAACATTTTAAATAATTCCATGGCAATTGTCCTCTAGATTTAAGATACATCAGATAGCAACTCATCAGTCCTAATAACTTACTATTATCAGTTTGTTTTGGTGGTTCCTTTTCTTCTTTACAAAAAAGTTAATTGAGCTGGAGTCAAACTGGAGAATCCAGTATTCTAGCAGAGGAGATTTTTACATGGAGCAGAAGAATCTTTGAGAGGAGAGGAAGCTTTAGTATCTTGCCCGGGTCCCAACAGCTCTGAGGTAGAAGGGCCAGATTCAGACACAGGGCTGTCAGGCACCAAAGTCAGTTGTTTAAAAGTTGAATTCTACTTTAGTAGAAATAATAACGGGCATGTCTTCAACTAGAATTCTCTATTAATTGGCATGTTGCTATAGTGCCAAGACAAATCCTGTTTATAATGCAAATCCTCAAGAACCTTCTTAACCATCAAAATGATGAAACAGTGTTCATTGTGGTTTATTAGGTATACTTTATGATGTTGTAAATTTTAGAGAATTTTTTATCCGTAAATCACCAATGGAGTGACTTTTTAATCCTTTTTTTGAGACAGAATTAATGTAGGGGGACTTTTTAAATGTGCATATTTGAATATTGCATTTTCTTACCATGCCAGGTAGTTGAGAGTTTATGGTACTTTACTTAATAAATTTATGCCTTTTTATATTTGTGCAGTTTTCCAAAGAACACTAGGAATTGCCAGAAAGATAAGTCCTATGAAAATGCTTTCTGAATAATTAAATTTGTGGCGTTTGTGGAGTTTGCAGTGGTGCCTGGTGACAAGAGAAAAATAGGAAGATAGTACTTACAGCAATAGAAATTTTCTGATTTATAGTCTGTTAACATGGTTCTTTCTAGTTTTTGGTGTTAAAAACTCCTTGTTTTTTCACCATGATATTAAAAGTAGTTAGTACTTTTACTTGTTTCTTTGAACATCCATGCCTGCAAAAATATTTCAATTGGTAATTCTATCGAATGTACCTCCCTTTTTCCCCCCAGTTTTTTTGGAAATATTACTGGTCCATGCAACCCTAAAATTTAGGCACCAGTATAGTAGGAACAACATTGGCTTTGGAACCAGACAGAACTGACAGTGAAGACCAGTTCTTCACTCTGCCACTTGCTCAGGGCCAAGTAGCAGTTTAGTCTTTCTGGACCTTATTTTCATTATCTATAAAGTAAGAAAAATCATACTTTGCAAGGTTGTTGTAAAAGTTGAAGAAAATATTTCTAAAGCCCCTCACAGCACTCCCATAATGGTGGGTATTGAATAAAAGGTAGCTATCAATACTTAGTAACTGTGTAACCTTGGGCAAGTTACTTAACCTCTTTGTGCCCCATTTTTCTCATTTGTGAAACAGGGATGATAAAAGTCCACAGGGTTTATAGGATTGTTGTGAGGATTAGATTATACGCATAGAAGATGCTTCACATACAATATGTCCTCCTCATACAATTTTTACAATTTTTAATTACAGCTACCGTTAAGAATTTACAGATAGTCCTTTTACGAAGCTTTTAATAATGTACGGTGGTTATATCAAAGCACACAGATAATGATGGTATTAAGATAGTATTTGCAAAATGTGATCAGTGCTTTGAGGAAGGTAAAAGCTTGTCTTGGTACATAATAGATATTTATTAGAGTTTAACTTAAAGAAAAGTAAGCCAAAACAGTCTTCTGACCTCTGAAACCTTAAATTGTCTTCTTGCAGTTCTTCTGTAATTATCTGCAAACTTCTTCTTTCTCCATAGCAATTCATTCACAAAGTAAGACTTACCTAAATTCCTAGGCTTTCTACCAAATAAAGAGAAAATCTGGGAGCTAGAGGAGGGAGGTGGTCCTGTGGATCCAGCAACACGGTCACCCTACTCCTTCTGTGGGTCAGAGTGTTTACCACTTATAGCAGAGAAGCTGGGCTTAAGCATACTGGTTGTAGGTATTGGGAATACGTTGTCAGGATCTGATTTCATTTGCTACCTTACGTTTCCATGAATTGGCTATACTTATGTGTAAAATGAACCTAGCCAATGCCAAAGTACTATAGTAGTAAGTTCTTCCTATTCCTTATCTGTCTGTTCTCTGAAATTCTTCCTTGGTATTCACCATGTTGGTGGAAGAAGAGGTCACTAGCACTGGCCACTGACTGTAGGCCCTTTTTTCTACCTGTCCTTAGTCTCAGGCACACTCTGCCCTACCACACTACTCTACCAAACCACCACATACGTGTCCACGTACATGCAGTATGGATCTTTGCCCGGGTGATTCTTTGACCTCTTGTTAACATCAACCCGTATATAGCAAGGGTACTATGCAGATGGTCCATTACTCAATTTATTCTCCTTCCACCTCCCCTCACCCCGTCTCCTTATGCTCTGCTCTCTCTGCAGATTAAAATAAAATATAAAACAAAGAGGCAGAGTGTTCCTAATTGGATAGTTTTCCAGTTTTCCCACATTTACAGGAACTCCCTGGGCATATTCTGTATTCTCCGTGCTATTTTTAACAGGATCTAAGAAGTGGCGAAGTTAAGTGAGCAGTGCTGGGTGCCTCAGGGAGGAGAAGGCCCCTGGGGAGATAAGCCCAGCTCACCGTGGTAGAAAAGCCCTGACCTAGTGTAGAAAGAGTTGGGCTCTCTGGGCTGCAGCCCGAATTACTGTTAACCAGCTGAGTGACTTGGCCGTGCTGGGCTTTAATTTTATGGTCAAGAAAACAAGAGAATTGGGCTAGGGGGTCCCTAAGGCCTCTTCTAGCATCAAATGTCATGGATTCTGTTCTTCAGTTACTAATCTACAAACATAATCAAGTTTTACTGCTTTTGATTTGATGTTCTTTGTTAATTCATTCTTTTTTTTTCTTTTTCTTTTTTTGAGACAGAGTCTTGCTCTGTCACCTGGGCTAGAGTGCCATGGGGTCAGCCTAGCTCACAGCAACCTCAAATTCCTGTGATCTTCCTGCCTCAGCCTCCTGAGTAGCTGGAACTACAGGCGTGCGCTGCCACATCTGGCTAATTTTTTCTATTTTTAGTAGAGAAGGGATCTCACTCTTGCTCAGGCTGGTCTTAAACCCCTGAGCTCAAGCAATCTTCCTGCCTCCTCCTCCAGGAGTGCTAGGATTACAGGTGTGAGCCACCATGCCTGGCCTGGTAGTTAATTCTTAACATTAGTTTAAATTCATAACTAGTATCTGCTGAACTTTAAAACTTATCTATATTGTTTCTATTATAAAAAGTACTTTCTGCTTGTACGTGTCTTATTGTTAGTTATTTACCAATGGCTTCTCTCTCTCTTCCTCCTCCCCAGCCTATCCCATCTCTTTCTTCATAGTTCATAATGTTGATGGTTGGCACCTATCAGCGCAAACTTTTATAGGCATGAAATATACGTATGCACACATAAAAGTATTTTGACTCTAAAGAGATCATACTATACATGTGGTACCACAGGTTGTGCTTTTATTAATTAGCATATGATAGAGGCAAACAATACCACAAAACAGTATTCAGTGACAAGCCAGTCTTCCTCACACCCGAACCTCCACGCCTCCTTCCTTAGAGGCAATGTTTGTATATCATTCCAGAACTTTTCTGTGAATATACAAACATGTATGTGTCTATCTGATTTTTTTTGGCATAATGGGAACACTGTTTAGCTTCTTGCTGCTGCTGCTTTTTTTTTTTTTTTTTGTGGTTTAGCTCTATGTTTTGGAGATTATTCCACAGCAAATAAATCATATAAGCTCTTAGTAAGTGCTCAGAAATATTAATTGTTATTATCAGTTATTCATTTATTATTATAAACAGCTATAACAGCTATCCTGTTCCTTCTTTTAGACTACAAAACATTCCATTGCATAGATGCACTAATTCCTCATTGATGTTTCCAATATTTGACTATTATAAATAATGCTGCAGTGGACATCCTTGCTCCTAAGTCCTGGTATAAACGTATGAAGTTATGTGCAGGAGAAATTCCTGTTGAAAGAATGTGCCTTTTACATTTTGTTAGATATTTAGAAGGCAGTCTGGCAATTGATTGAACCTGTTTACGGTTTCATCAAGAATGTATGAGAGTGCCTGGTTCCTCATCCCTTTGCAAATCTCTCTCTTCAGTTTCCTAATCTGATAGGTGAAAGTCGTATCTTGCATTTCTTTTATTAATGTGAAATTGAATGTCTTTTCATTTGAGTACAGATATTAGTGTTTATTTTTTCTGTGCCCTGTTATGTCCTTTGCCTTTTTTTATTCCAATGTTTGTCACTTGTAATCTTATTTTGCAGGTATTTAAAATTTTATATAGTCATGGCTTCTAGGTTTGCAATCTTGCCTAGAAAGATTTTTCCTACTTGAAGATTGCTAAAAAGTTCATCTTTGTCTTCTAATACTTTGACAATTTTATTTTTTAATTCCTGAGCCATTTGAATCTGTGCTTTACTGTAATGTTGGATTATAGGTCAACATATGTTTGCTTGGAAGGTTGAGTACTTAAATCCCAACAAAACCAGAGGTTGCCAGGGTAGGTTGAACATAGCACAGAAGACTAGGCTAGCTAGTACAGGTTGAGTATTCCTTATCTGTAATGCTTGGGACCAGAAGTGTTTCAAATTTTGGATTTTGAAATATTTGCATATACATAATGAGATATCTTGGGGATGGGACCCAAGTCTGAGCACCAATTCATTTATGTTTCATATACACCTATACACATAGCCTGGAGGTAATTTTATGCAATATACCTGTGTTTTAACTGCAACCCATCCCGTGAGGTGAGGTGTGGAATTTTCCACTTGTGCTGTCTTGTCAGATGTTGGAGCATTTTTGGGTTTACAGATTAGGGATGCTCATCCTGCATTGTGATGTAATTGATAGTTTCCACAATTTAAAATTCCCATTTTGTCCTGCATAATTCTTATGATTGCTTGTTATATTTCAGTTTTCAAGGAGCTTCTTTTAAATAGAAAAACCTTCTGCCTTGACAACTTGCCATTAATTTGAAACGCATCGATACTGATTTTTGATATTACATTGATCAAGACTAATATTTGGCCCTTTTATTAATACTGAGGAAGTATTTAAGGTTACTGTTTCTTTGTTACAGGTGCCACTTCATGGTTTCCAAGATGGGGTACTTAGTGACTGTTGTCAAGTAGGAAATGGAAAAGTAATGGTAGTAATTTGACTCAGGAAAGTGTGGCATTCTGGAATGTTGAGAGAATTCCTTTATTATTTTTTAATATCTAAAGCCACTAATAGTGCTCAGCTACCTTGGGTTGGGGGATTTATGATTTTTCTAACTACTGTCTGTTACTGTGGCAAACTTCTGCCTGGGTTTGTTTACTAATTTGCTAGCTAGCCCTTTTCTATGCAAAATTGGCAACAAAAATTATAGATTCCCTGTGCTATGGTTTTCTCACCCAGGTAATGGGGATGCTACTACTTGATTCTGCCAATTTCTCAGAAACTTTTTGGGCCTAAGAACAATGTTTTATATCCCTCTTAAGAAGAAAAGTATTTATATATCCAAAGTAGCAATCTCACTAATGCCTTGGTATTTTTACTAGGACTAGGTAATTGTGGCCAGGGCTACAGTGGATCACCAGCATGTTAGCTCTAATAAAACTAAGGCCATTTAATGAAAAAGTAAAAGCTAGATAAAATTGAGTTGAGGCGGCTTATTTTTGTGCTCACTTTTTATGTCTTATGTCAGATATATCCTTTCAAAAGTGTTTGTTAGCTTTTTCATTCTCTTTATGGCAAAAATTTTATCCTTCAATATTTCCTTTATTTTTTACACACATATGTGCACACACATACTTCAGCCTAGAATAACGTGTAGTTTGCTTCAAGAAAGCTAGTATATAAAACTTTGAATTTAGTCCTGATTTATTTTTTTAACCATCACTTATGAGTTGTGCTGGCAAAGGTATTAAAGATTATCTGGTGTTACCTATAAAGAAACAGAGATCCAAAAAGGTGAAATAACTGGTTGAAGATCATAGATAGTGGTCAAAATAGGACAAAAACTCTGCCCTTGGGACTCCCAGTCTAGCAGGCTTACTAGAATCACGCATTCAAATATGATTCTTTATAATTTTCTTGAAAGATTATGCAATGTATTTAAATAATGAACTGATGGTAACAATTTTCAGAGCAGATCTGTTGCATAAAGTAGTGCTTTACAAAATAAATTCCAGGTATATAAATAGGTATTAACATGGGAGAAAGAGGGCAATATAGAGACCTTCCTTTGTTTTTTTTTAAACGGAGTATCTTAGGGTACTAATATGTAGGAAGTGACCCCTGAATACTGACATCTATAACTCAACACCTAAAGAATCCCTAAGCCAAACTGTTCTGTTGACAGGACAAGTCATTTAAATCTTGGTCACTGTGAGGAAAATAACATTTACCTAGTATATTTCTCAGTGAAAGAACTTGGGTAGTGACCTGTGTCTGTATCTGCAAGTCCCTCCACAGTGGTCATGTCAAGGATTGGTGAGATGGAAGGTGAGAGCAGGAAAAGCAGAAGAATGGTTCAGATCCCTCCTGGATAGCAGTGATTAGTCTGTAAAAGCACAGCTGACTTGAAGAGTTAATAACGTAACAGGTAACACGAGGTAACTCATCTACTGTTGGACCTTAACAAGAGATCTGCAGAACACAACTTGAAGGGGATCGAAGACAGAACCTATTGGATGATCTTGTAACTCGAGAGAGACTACTTCTGGCATCCTTTAAGAATGAGGGTGCCGAACCAGATCTAATCAGGTAGGATATTTTCATTTACAGGGATTACTTACTTGGTGGGTAAAGATTTATTTGCAGATATTATGGCTGTTTCCTGAATGGCTTAATGTCCTTAACTGGTAGAATATATTCTGTTCATTTATGGTGTCTGACTATAGTTTTCTGTTCAATTTAGTTTTTGTTAGTTTTCTAGAGCTAGTAAATTGTTTATGTTCAGCTGAATCTCATTTGGGTAGAGCATACTTAGGTAGAATACAGATGACGTCAGAAAATTTCTTTTGCATTCTTTGGTTGAATTTTTTGTTTTGTTAGCTGCCTTATAAACTCCTGAAGTCACTACTTACCTGTGCGGGAAAATGAGTTTTGGTTTTTTTTAATTGGCATGTTGAAAAAATGTGTCCTAATAAGATTGTGGTGGAGCTCGTGGAGGTAGAGCCCTGTTTTTTCACACTCTAAAGAGTTGACAGCTGCTTGGAACCCAGCTCTGTTGAAGGACCTGGAGAAGTGGTCTGGCTTCCTAAGGCTGAGGTTAATGACCCATCAATTGTTACATCCTTAGAATTGGCCTCCCCCACCTCCAGGACTCTATCAACTTCACTGTGGGAGCCATCACAGAAGGAAATGAGTTCAGGATAGAAACCCGCCTCTCCTCATCTTCCACACTAGGGATGATGCATCCATTGTGGTGAGGCAGCTTGCTCCTGTTCAGTCCCTGGTTAGGAGTAAGACGGCTCCCCAAGGGGAGTGGTTTTTGACCCTAGCCAGGCATTGCCACACTCCATCTCAGACAATTAAATCAGGGTGGGATTGGGGTGGGGGCAGGGGAGGTCCCAGGTGCTGCTAATATGCAACCAGGATTGCACACCAGCCCTAGGACAAGCCGAGTAGGATGAAACAGTTCTTTTCTTGTTGGTCCCAGTCTTCTCAGGAGCTGGTGAGCCAAGGTTCTCAAAAAGAAACTACGACATACAGGTAGCTGGATGAAGTGTTAAGTCGTTTCTGTGAAGAAGTGAACCTGAGGAGTCAGGGAGGGAGGAATGATACTCTCGTGGCAGGGTCCTGGGCAAGGTTTTTAAATGAAGACAGAAGCCTGTGGTAGGCTGATTTATTGTGGCTCCCGATATTTCTCTGGCATATTCAGTCCCAGGGATCCAAGGCTGACGCCAGTGGATGAAGGTGGTGCTCCAGGTTGGTGACATAGAACAGGTGAGCAAGGGAATCCAAGGTGAAAAGAAAGTGCTGTCTTCCAATAAGGGCCTCCATGTTCATTGAAGGAAGTCGAGAGACTAACAAGGGCATAGTTAGGGGGAGTGCATTTCATGGGGCGATGGAGTCAAGTAAAGAGGTGAAGTTCAGAAGGGGAGAAAACATTTAATCGTTCTATTTGAGAAGAGTTTTCTGGGCCAGACTCTGCCTCTCGCTCCTTGTTCACTGTGTCATTTAATGATGCGGAAGAGCGCAATGTATGAGTTTAGGCCTTCCGAGGACCTCTGCAGTCCTATCAGTAGGTCTTTTTGGCCCGTGTGGTTTTTTGCTTTGTGATTCCCGCTCACCTCCCTGTGTCAGTGCTGCTCGCCCTGGTGCTGGCCTCTGCGACCTGCCAAGTAGCAGTGGCACCAGGAAGCGTGTTAGAAATTCAGAATTTCAGACCTCATTCCAGACCTGTGGAATCAAAACTTGCATTTTAAACAGACCTTCCAGGTGATTTGAATGCCCATTACAATTTGAGATATACTGCTTTGTATCAGTTATTCTTAATTGTGGCACCTTGCTTCAGAATCGATCATAAGGAAAAAAAAAAAGAAAAATACATGTCTGGCCCATATGCTTGCAGAGTCTGATTAGTAGTCTGGAGGAAGGCCTGGGTGGGAGTAGGCTGTTGGAGGTGGTTCTAATAGGTGGCAGGTTTAGAACCACTGCGCTACGTCTCAGCGGCTACTAGTAATGATACTAATAGCTTATGTCTGCTGTTTGTTTTCTATGTGTCGGGCACTATGTTAAGCTCCTTTATAATATCCCATTTTACAAAAGAGAAACTGAGGCTCAGAGGCATCAAGATGCTAAAGCTAATCAGTCTCAGAGCTTGGATTTCAGCTCTGAACTCTTAACCAGGCATTAGATGGATTTAGCTCTGTAGCTAACTATTCTCTCAATCATCTGGGCTTCAAAATCATTGACCTTAAACTCAGGATATGTGTTCTGCCTATTTTTCATTGTTGTTAGGACCAGAGGAAGGGATCATTATGAAAAGGGCTTTTGTAAACTGTAACACCTTTATAAATACAAGATATTGTTGTTGGGCCATTGTGTCCCCATCAGCCTAGGAGGGAGCTCATGCTGCCACCTTGCTTCAGAGACCTGCTGTCCCTCCTGTCACGCCCCCTGAGTGCTCTAGAGCAGCTGTCCCCACTCTTTCTGACAACAGGGGCTGGTTTCATGGAAGATAATTTTTCCGCGGGTTGGGGGTGGGGGGTGGGGTAGAGCTCAGGCCGTGCCACTGCCCATTTCCTAACAGGCCACAGACTGGTATCGGGCTGTGGCCTGGGGGTTGGGGACCACAGCTCTAGAGTGATCTGGTCTCCTTGAGCAGTCTTGTTCCATGTGCTGCAGCTGGTCCGCAGCCCTCACATTCTCTCTTTCCAAATCGTGTTTGTTCTGTGTCCTCTTTCCACAGTACTCGGCTTGTTGCCTATTGTCTTATTAGTAAACAGTCTCACATTAATTCTAGCAGTGAAATAAGTGGCTGCCAGCAACTTGTTTTCTGGAAGTATTTTAATTGAAGCCTCCTTGAGCCTTAGGATTTAAATCAAAGTAAATTAACTGATGGGAGAATTTTAGGGACTTTGGCAGCTTAGTGGAGGTGGTTTTTGTTTTGGATGGAGGCCTTCTGAGGAGCTCTGGAGTCTTACCACTGAGACTGCCTTTTGCGTTTCCTGCGTGTAAGGCTGATCACATGGTGGACCTGAAGCTGTTGCTTTTTGGTTTGTTGGTGAATGGTTGCGTGGCAGGGCACAAGGAGACCAGACTGAGGAGAAACTGTGAGCAACGATAACTGAAGTGCTGAGGGTTGAAATATGGTAACTGGCCAGGATTTTTTATTTTTTTAGAGACAGAGTCTTGTTCTGTTGCCCAGGCTAGAGTGCTGTGGCGTCAGCCTAGCTCACAGCAACCTCAAACTCCTGGGCTCCAGCAATCCTACTGCCTCAGCCTCCTGAGTAGCTGGGACCACAGGCATGCACCACCATGCCTGCTATTTTTTTCTATATATTTTTAGTTGTCCAGGTAATTTTTTTTCTATTTTTAGTAGAGACAGGGGTCTCACTCTTGCTCAGACTGGTCTTGAACTCTTGAGCTCAAACTATCCACCCGCGTTGGCCTCAAAGAGTGCTAGGAGTGAGCCACCACACCTGGCCATGGCCAGGCTTATTGACATGCTCCCAAGATGAAACCGAGGACAACATATATATTGTATCTTTTTCATTCAGGAACAAAAATGTAGCATAGTTCAGAATAAGCTTTTAGAGGAATTTTGTTTAAAAAGCATGTAAGAATTGTTGAGGAGAAATGACTCCTGTGGAGTGGTTTGAAGAAGGTAAAAGTGGACATAACACATAGTGATGGTCTATTCCAGATGACATGGAGTCTGGGCAACAGTAAGAAACCATTGTGGCAATTATTAATAGATACTGATTGCCATGAAGAAAGAAAATCATCGGGAGGCTGAATCAGAAGGATCGCTTGAGCCCAGGAGTTCGAAGCCAGCCTGGGCAACATAATGAGACCCCCGTCTCTAATAACAATAAACAAAAGAAGTCCCTGGGAAATCTGATTAAGGGCTATGAGGATGGACACCTAGATGGTGTTGATCTAACTAGTCAGGGAGGACTTAACTAGAGATAATAGTAAGTGTATCGAGAATGAATGAATGAATGCATATTAAAGCCAAAGCAGATTGCTAGAAGTAGATTTTCTTAGATTTGAGGTAAGTTACTGGTCTTTGATTTCATTCACCTGCCTATGTCAGAGTTATTTTTTCGGCCTTTACTCCTAATCTCCACCCTGGGGGCCTCCCCTTCCATCCCCAACTTCTCATATCTAGTAATTCTCCTGCTTGGACCTGGCTGAGAGAGGATCTTAATTCAGTTAAACATGACCAGTTTGGGTTCACAGTTTGACTGTGTCCTCTGGCCTCCTGAATGTTAGATTGCCCAGTCACTTCTAATACCACTATCAGGGAACTTTCTGCTGTATATTTGGAGAAACCTCATTCCTTTCCGCCAGTTGGTTTCTCTGGATCTCTGATGACTCACAAAGATTCCCTTAGTCCTCCCCACAGTTAATCCATAGTTCTGGGTTCCTCCAGGATTTTTGTTTGCTTCTGTAATCCTTGGTATCAGAGAGGTCAGCTGAGTTGCTTTGTCACTTCGGTAGAGGGCATGTGTCTTTTTCTTAATTTATGACCTATGGAATGGCATTGGCCAGAAAGCCTTGTCAGAACTTCAGAATGTTATAGACATGCTCTCTATGGCACATTTTGTCATTAATACCAGACGATTGCCACAACACATTTGCTGTTAGAGAACTGGGGTTAATCTGCTAATCAGTACCTCCTGTAATAACTGACAGCAATGCCACAAGATCAGTTTGCCCTACCAGGATTTGCCTGGGATCAGGTGAGCCCCCCTTTCTTCCTAGAACCCATGCTTCTGTTTCTGTCTTTTCTGTTTACTTTGTGCATGCCCTCTTTCTTTCTTCCCCATCCCTCATTCCCAGAGTCCTTCTACCCCTCCTTTTCCTCCTCATATGTGGCCTTATTAAGGAGAGAAGAGTATTGTCAAACTTCAGTTTGGATTAGCATTTCCTTTAAACAGACATTAACATGGCAATCACATAATTGAATGTGTAGCTGTCATGTGACAGAATCTTAGTTTTACTTTACGGATTACTGGTCATTATTCTAAAGCAGTAAGCCTTGGTCTAAATAAGCAATGGTTGACTAATTTAGGGTATTTGGAAACTTG